TATACGGTGTCTGGGCTGGAAAGTCCCTCCTTGGTCTCTGATGTTCTTTTTTTTCAAGTGAATCTCCATGCCTGGTCATCCAGCAGATTCTTGGGACATTAATTTACTGTACTCTCCCCTGCCAAGCATCCTACCAGGAGACTGCAAAGTCAGTAGTGACACTGTCCATGTCTTCCAAGAGCTTCTGATGATGCCTTCAAAAGGAATAGAAGCCAAGGTCATGGCCATAGATGGTCTTCTGAGACAGATGTTTCCCAGGCTACATTCAAGGAGCAGTCCAGAGCACTGGGTACCCCTGGTGACACCTGCCCCTAAAGACTGTTCCACCTCGCTGAGTGGCTAAGTACCTTGCTGGGAGCATTGGAATGATAGTTGCATTCATACCTGGTATGCAGAAGGGGCATAATAGATGCAGAGCTGAAATTGCTGAGCAATGGCTGCCTGTCTTCTGACTCCTTCCTGTTGTCCCTTTCCTAGAGTTTTCCACCTCCTAACAAGACCTCCTTTACCCTTCCCTACTATTTCCTTTTCCCGATTTCTCCAGAAATCTCCATGTACGATTCTACTAGTCTATGTAGCAGAAAGCATCGAGGACTCAACACTCCAGTTTCTGCACAAGCCTCGATGGCAGGCGCACAGCACACCCCTTCCAGACAGCCCCCCAAGGAACATCTGCAGCCCTGTCAGTGTGACTTTCCTTCCTGGGCACTGGGTAGCTCAGATGCATCATTGGGGCAAGCCAAGTCAAGCACCGGCCCACAGGTGCCAGGCTTCACAAAGAGGCCTCCAGCTGCTCTAGAAGACTGACTGTGGGTACCATGCTGAGCTGTGACCTCACCCTGCAGCTGGATTACATTGTGAGGGTCAAGGGACTTCCCCTTCCTCTGGCAAATTCTACTTATAGCAGAGCGCAGAGCTCAAACTCGGAGACAAGAAAGGGGAACAAGGGCAGAGGGGGGCCATTCAAAAATCCTTATCCCGGGTGAGGCAAGAATATTAGAAATGTAGTGCAGGGCCTGTAGAGATGCCCCAGTGGTGAGCCCTGACTGTTCTTCCAGAGGACCCAGGTTCAATTCCCGGCGCCGACATGGCAGCTCACAAGTGTCTGTGACTCCAGTTCCAAGAGACCCGACACCCTCCCACAGACATACATGCAGGCAAAACACCAATGCACATAAAATAAAAATAAATAAATTCTTTTTAAAAAAAAAAAAAAAGAAATGTAGTTCAACAGAGGGGAAGAAACCACCAGGTTAGGGACTGGAGCTGTAGCTCAGTTGGTAGAGTGTTTGTCTAACATGCACAGAGCCCTGAGTTCGATTCCCATCACTGCCTAAACCAAGAGTGGGTGGCATATGCCTACAATCTCGCCTTCACCTCCCGGATGCTGGGATGATCTGAAGTTCAGGGTCCATCTTTGGCTACATAGGTTGCTTGAAGCCTGCCTAGACTACATGAGGCCCAAGGAAAGAGAGAAAATAATCACTAGCTGTCACAAACTGGTGGCACAGAATGAATGTCCTGTCCATATGCCTGAGCTCACGTGCCACTTTGATCCCAGACATGAAACCACATTCTATTTGTGATCAGTGTTAAGACAAGGCCACATCCCAGCTTTTCCTGTAATCACAATGGATATCAATGGATATCAAAGGACTAGGTTCAGTAGCCAAGCACAGAACTTGATCTCTAGTGTAGAATAGCTGACATAGATTCTCTCTAACAGGAAAGGAACAAAAATCGTCCCTGAATTTTCACATGAAAGGAAAGCTGGACTCCCTCACTTAAAATCCCAACAGCTACTCTGGCATATGTCAGCTGAGGTGTGCTTACCCCAAAACGAGAGGCCCTCCAGCCTGGGCAATACATGCAGCCAGGCAGAGGAGGCAAAGAAACAAGATGACTGAGTCTAGGCCCCGGCCTTCTCATTGATACGGTCAGCACGTGACTCTCTCATCACCCCCCACACCTTACTGGAATGATTCTCTTAATGCAGGATGCAGCCCATTCTGCAGACAGACAAAGCCAGCAAAGCCGAGACATTTCTACAAAATACCCAAATTCACATCTCACATCCAGGTGGGCCGATTTCAAACAGTTTCTTCTGTAACCTACTGTGTTTCAGAGTGACGAAATAAAAAAGGTCAGAAGCTGCCCTTGAGGCATCGAGGGCAAGGATGTAGACACAGAAGATAGGCAGGTAATTAAAGCTTGGAAAAACCATGACGTCCCTGGAAACTCTAGGGCTGAGAATTCAGTATGTTTGCTGATGAGGCAAAGGGGCACCGGTGGGAAGGTGTTCAGGCATGGAGGTCCCGCCTCCTGCAGGCCCAGCTGCTTTTCATCTCCAAATCAATCACACCAGGTGTGTGCCCCGGAGTGGCCCCTCTAGCCACCTCTCTCTTGCATAGGGTACTCATATGTCCACTAGCATTTGCATGCCATCCCTGGTCACCACCACCCCCACCCCCACCCCTGAAGTGCTTCCTTTGTGCTCCTGAAGAGTTGCTGCCTGCCTGGTCCCTCACCATGCCCCACCCAGCTCCAGCTGGGACAGACTTCTGGGTGACTGCCTACCCATCCACGCTTGCTCCATACCAATGCCAAAAATGCCTCCTTCCGTGTCCCACAGCCAAGTCCTGAGAACCCGCTTTCATCAAACTGGGGTGGACACAGGAATTTAGCCACCCCCAAGAATCCAGCTCCACGAAGAGTCTCCCTCCTCCCCACAACCGCCTTTGTGACTCCCTTTCTTGGGCCTCATCCTCACCTCTGTTACCACGGATACCTTCTAGCCTAACGTGTCTCGGCCGTGCCTTCTCACGGATGACCAAGAGATCGGCACAAGGATGCAGATGACAGATGGACTATTTAGCATGCATGTGTGATACCAGACACGTCCAATCGAGCTTTCTCTGCCTGGCAGGACAAACCAAGTTACAGAACTTAACCACCACTCGGAGACAACTCACGACTTCTCACCAGGAACTTGATAAAATGACTTAGGACTTTCCTGAGACACACCTGTGGCAGGCGCTCCCTGACTATGTATGCTATGGATCTCTCACTGTATTCTTGTCACCAGAATGAATACACACCGTAGGGAAGAGCTATGACACCTAAGCCTGAAAGCCCCTTCAAGGGCCTGGGGCATCATGTCGACCTGCACCCCCTTTGGAGGACCTATTGCCTCACACCGTCACGGCAAGCTACCAGGAGCAGAAAGATAAGGAGTACAAGGAGGGGCCTAACCATGAGCCATGGAGAACTCAAATCATCCATCTCCCATGCTAGCTCATGCAAGCTAGCCCAGAAATGCTCTACCCAGTACCAGTAAGGAACCAGTGCTTCACAGACAGCATGATGGCCTGGGACAGCTGGCCTGAGCCAGAGAAGAGAAGAAAAAGCTGAACAGGAGACCAGAGTCCCCTCTGTCCTTGCCTGTGTGTTAGCCACTGATAGGCCTCACGGGGCCCGCCTGCCCCTCCTTCTGTGTGCCCGTGTGTCAGCAGCCCCCTCCGGCATCCTTACCTCGTGTCCCTTGCGGTCCACGACTCCTTCTTCCAAATGTGCTCTTCTTCTTCTTCCCAGGAAGCAGCACACCGCGAGAGGAGGCCTCGTGACCTGCCAGTCCAGCGCTCCACTATGCCGAGACACAGCTCAGCAACCTTACCAGCCGCCCAGCTTCCTGCCCTTTTCAACTGCCGCCTAAACCCCTCCTGGAGCAGTGATTCTCAGAATCACCTGAGCAGCTTTTGAACACGCAGGTGGCTGGAATCTACCTCCATCAGGTCCTGTTACTAGCAAGTTACAAACAGGTGCCGGTGCTGATGTTGAGGAGCCCAGACCACCCTAGGAAAACCCTCAAGCAGGAGTATGCCTGAGGGGGCTTTGAATGTAGCTTTGAACCTGATAGCACCTGCCAACACCCCATCAACTTGCAAAGCTTGATTTCCATGAACCCAGAGGAGGAAGGAAAACACCTTAAAAGGTCGGTTGTGTATCAAGCACAAGACTTGGGGGGCTGGAGAAATGGCTCAGAGGTTAAGAGCACTAGTTGCTCTTCCAGAAAACATGAGTTCAATTCCCAGCACCAACATATTGACTCACAACCTTCTGTGACTCCAGTTCCAAGAGATCGGACATTCCTCTTCAGACCTTTGAAGGCACTGTACATACATGGTACACAGATATACATGCAGACAAAATACTCATATACATTCATACTCATATACATTAAGATAAATACTCATGTGCATTAAAAATAAAGACCTGATACAGCCAGTGCAGAGCCCCGACCGTCACAGAGTTCCACAGTTCCTGTTTTGAGGCAATTCAAACTTGAATGAGACCTTTATCTTACTTCAGGAGTTCACCCTGTGTGACAGGTCCTTAACTTCCTAGGTATGAACCGAATGGGGCTGCCCAGCCTGGGCAAGGCATGTCCCCAAGTTCCCCTGAAGCTTCCACTAAATTCCCATTTCCTCCCGATGCCTTCCTCTACCCTCTTTATAAAGCACAAATCGGGTGGAGCCTCCTGCCCCAGAGGCAGAGTCTGTTATGGCCCTCACCTTGCTAGGAAGATCGTGGGCTTGGAGTGAAGGCACACAGATCTAAGCTTGCTGGTCACCAGTTAGAAATGTGAAGCCACAGCCTGGGAGGAGGGCACTGGACCTGCCTGGACTGAATCTACCAGGTTGAGCTGAATCCCCAGGGAAGTCCTTGCCCTGGAGGAGATGGGAATGGGGTGTGGGCTAGGGGGAGGGGAGGAGGCGAGAGGAGGGAGGACAGGGGAATCCGTGGCTGATATGTAAAATTAAATCAAATTATAAAATTTAAAAAATAAATAAATAATTTTTTAAAAAAAAAAGCCAAAGAGACTCTCAACATCAGTCAGTCTGATGCATCTTTTGTCAAAGGAAAATACAACACAAAAACCTAGGCAAACCCCATCCAACTAGTAATATCATAAATTATACAATGACTCTGTATGGAGGGATTGGTTTTTATTACAACTGCTGTTCCTTTTTTCCCCCGTAGGACAAAACTATTTTTTCCCAAAGCAGCTTCTCTTGAAGGGATGAATGACCATCCCCTTAATGAGCTGTGGACCTACATGTTACAGAATCCTCTCCCTGGTGGTAGCTGCTTGCAGACCTTCACTACTAAACCCGCCCACTCCTCCCCCACCCCCGAGTCACTGCTAATCACCCTGCAGTTCCCCTTCCCATTTTCAGACAATAGGCAAAACCCTATGCTTGCTCTGACACTCTTAACATTCATTCATTCTCTCTCTCTCTCTCTCTCTCTCTCTCTCTCTGTCTCTCCCTCCCTCCTTCCCTCCCCTCACATCCACTCCTGGCAGCTGGCTTCTTGGCCTCTCATTCAAAACTCTGACTTTCTCTTTCTCTAATCCAGCCTCACCCTCCTGGCAGCAGCCAAGATCTCCAGCTTGCCTGTTGTTTTATGTTTAGACACTAATTAAATTGTCTTCGAGTTTAAACACACACACACACTCAGAGTGGGAATAGTCACAGGAACACTGTCCTGAGTCCCCTCCTTCATCTCAGGGTTTTTTTCCCCCCCAAAGGTGTCTTGTTTATCAAATTCTGCTGGAACCCCTTTTCCTTTCCAGGCACGTGAAGTGCCACAGATCACCAAGGAAGCCACAGACAAGATCCTCAGCCTTCAGGGGCTGCCAGTGAAGCAGAATGACAACAAATGACAGAGAATCTCTTGAGTGGCTGTGTCCCATCATCGGAGAGTTCACTGAGCATGTAGACACAGGAGGAGGTCCGTGACAGCGAAGGCTGGTTCCTGTGTTCTAGTCTCCCTTCTTAGTAACAGAGCTCCCAACTTTTCACATGTTATAGGTCCACCTAGAAAATAGATCGAATGACAGTTGGCATGTGCCCTTTCTTACCTCTTCTTCTAGCCTGCTGCCTAGAATTAAGATGTGATGGCTGGAGCTCTAGCTGCATTTTATTTATTAGTGACTGGAGGGGCAGTGTGGTAAGAAAGTGAGAGCGAGCAAGGGCAAGCCATGGAAGGGGACACATGTGTCAGGGTGTGCCTGGCATGGGGAGGTCAGGGGACAACTTTGTAGAGTTGGTTCTCTTCTGCCACCTTTATATGGGTTCCAGTGATGAAATTCAGGTCACCAGGCTCGCAAAACAAGTACCTCTACCTGCCGTCTGGCCAGCACTCCAACAGCATTTTAAACAATGAGAGTAGCAACGATCTGGAGATGATAAATCAGGGAACTTAAAGAGGTTTGGATCCATAACCGCTCGGGAGGGGGTCTAAGCCAATCCCAGGCTAGCCCCAGAACTCATTAACGTAAGAGAAAGCCAGCCTTGGTGTCATTTTAAAAGGCCACTATTTTATGGTTACTGACACACGTACTGATTGTAAATCCCAGCCACTTGGAGGCTGGACTGTGAGTGGCCTGAGGTCTTGGAACTCATTATGTCGGGGAATAAGGAGCAAGAGAGGGCTTACAGGCTGCGGAGTCACTTGATGTGGAGAGAGAAAAGAAGAAACGGGAATGGCCGAAGATCAAAAGAGGCATTGGAAGCATATTTCCACTGACAGAAACCAGGGCTCCGAGGGTGCTATGTAATTTTCTGGTTGTAACCAAATACCCGACATGAAGCAATTTGAGAGATGGAGAGCTGATTTTGGCCCAAGGACTGAAGGCAGGGAAAGCTTAGTGATAGGAGCAGCACCCAGCTGTGATGGAGGGGGGGCCTGCTTGCTCACATCTGGATGGATCAGGAAAAGGAGGATGCTGGTATTCAGCTTACTCCCCCCCCCCTTTTTGGGTGGGAGGGGTTGAGACAAGGTATCTCCACATATCCCTGGCTGTCCTAGAATTCGCTCTGTAGACCAGGCTGGCCTTGAACTCACAGAAATCCATCTGACTCTGCCTCCAGAGTGCTGGGATCAAAGGCATGCGCCATCACCACCAAGCTCCTTTTTTTTTTTTGCCTTTTTAATTCAGTCCAGGACTCCAACACCTGGGATGGTGCCTTTCACATTGGACTAGGTCTTCTCTCGTCAGTTAAAGCTCTCGGGAAACACCCTCACAGGCACACCCAGAATCATCTATCTCCTAATTGGATTTGGATTGGTTCCAAATCCAGTCAAGTTGGCAATGAAAATGGACCCTCACAGGTGGCACACATGACTTTAGGCGTGTGACCTTTGAGGCCACTGGAATACATTCATCCTTTAAAAGGTGTGGGTAAGCGTGTGCAAAATCAAAGACACAGAGAAGCAAGCTGTAAGAGAAAGGCGAGTCCTGGAACTACAGGTTTGGAGTCATTCATGCAAAGGTAATCATGGATCTGTTCCAGCGTGGGTAAACCCTTCTGAGGTTACGTGAAATAGCCTGCCACAAAAGCACAAAGACTGTTTGTGTCCGTAGATGTGAAGTGCCTGTAAGTCAAATTCACAGGAACAGAAAGTAGAATTGTGGTGGCCAGGGGGTAACGGGAAAGGGGGGGTGGGAGGTGGGGACTTACCTAATGGGGATACTTTCAGTTTTGCAAGATGAATGCCAGTGGTGGTGATTTCAGAAGAATCTAGAGGTGCATAATGCCACTGAGCTGTTCATTTAAAATTGCTAAAACCACAACGATAACAACAGCAAAATACATACATGCACACACACATACATGAATAAATAAGCAAAAGAAAATTTAGCAGCTTGAAAAACAGTCATAGCAGAACCCCAATGTGTACGAGGGGTCAAAAATGAAACAGAAGGACTCACAGATAAGGGACAGACGATGTTAATGAATGCAAAGAAAAAGAGAGGGGTCCAGAGGCCAGGGGCGGGGACTGAGAGGAAGGAAACCCAGGAAGAGAAAGAATGGACAAGATGACTCACAGGCTCTTGGAAAGAGCGGTGCCAGCACAAGGACTGTGAGAAAGACTCCAGCACCCCGGCAAGGTGCCTCACTAGCAAGAGTCTCGGATTAGCACAGAGCACAAGGCTGAAAGCGCAGTGGAGGCCATGGAAACTGAAGAAAGTTAGACAAAGAAAGCCCCATGCAGCGGCATTGGGTCTCAGGAAGAAAGGCCTCAGCGGCTTATCCTTCTGCATCACTTTCAAAGTCAAGTTGCTGTTGCCTGAAAAACAATGGCAACCACCTCCACTCAGACGTGAATGTGTTCACCAAGATGTCAGGTAGCGCTTCGTTTACCAGAGAGAGGCTAAGAGGCCAAGGCTCTTGCAGGCCATTGTGTGTGACTCTAAGGAACATGAACGGCTGTCTTTAGGAGAGACTGTAGTGGAATGGAGAGATCCGGGTCAAAAGTAAGGCACCGTTCCAATTGGAGGGGGGGGAGGGTGGCTCATGGTCCTCTTGCTTGCTCTCCAGCCATGTTATGGAGCAGTGCAAAGGCCTTGACCAAATACTCCAAAACTACGAGCCAAATAAACTTCTATGGCTTAGAAACGACCAATGCAGGGTGTTCGATTATAGCAGACAATATAGGAGACAGACCAAGACTCCCTCAGGAATGACCAGCTAGGGTTTACTGTCACCACAATAGCCGACACTTTCCAGCAGTATGCCTGCCATCTGTAAAGTTGCTCTGTCCCCACCCAGTTCCCTACAATTCTACATAGCAGGTTTCGAGGACAGGGGAGCGGTCCACCGCATCACGTGAAGCCGAGAGGTCAAGGAAGGGAAGCAGGAAAACCACCAGCTTGCAAAGCAGCAACCCACTGAGGACATTAGAAGGGGAAATTTTTTTAAGCAGAAGTGGAGACCCGGGCTCCACGCAGGTGCAGATTGAGCACGGAGCAGAGGCCGTGCATCTGCAGGGCTCTGACCTGAGTCACCACAGACGGGACGTTTGTGACAACTTCCCAGTCAAAGCACCTGAAGGAATGTGTCTCTTAAAATTGGCACAAAGGTCACGTCTGGACCAGAAACAACTCTGACAAGGGCACTGAGGCATGTGGAGGAAAGGTCGTGAATGTAAAGAAATTCAGACGGTGTATCCGCAGTACCAATGGGGATCTATAGTAGTTACTTTCTGCTGCATAACAAATTACTCAAACATCGACTCTGTGTCACCTCCTGGTTCTGTGAGGGAGTCCGGGTGTAGGGTGACCGGGTGAGCCTGGTTGGGTCCTAGCCCAGAGGATCTCCCAACACTGCAGTCATTTCGAGATTTCATAGATGATAAAAGGATCCACTTCCAAGCTTGTTACAGGGAAGCTGGGAAGCCCCTGTTCCCTTCAAAGGCTCCTGGGATGAAGGTCTCGGTCCCTCACCGCACCGTGAGGGTCTCTCTTGATAGCGACTCAAAACACGGCCATTTGCTTCCCCCACTGTGTGGAATTCAAGAGAGGAAGAGACGGGGCAGAGGAGCGAAGTGAACACAATACAGAAGCCACAATCTTCTGGTAACCTACTGTCTGAAGAGACCCCATCCCCTCTGCTGGATTCTATTTGTTGAAATGACTGAGTAACTTTGAGAGTGAGAATCACACATAGGTCACCTCAGATGCTGCCTAGTAGGAGATAAAGACTCGGCCATCCTTTTTTTAAAAAAAAAATTTCATTTATATTTATTTATATGTATGCACGTGTATCTGTGCACTTGTGTACAGGTGCTTGCAGAGGCCAGAAGAGGAGGTCAGATCCCCTGGAGCTGGAGTTATATGGGAGCTGCCCAACATGGACCCTGGGGACTGAACTCCTGTCCCCTAAAGAGCAAGAAGCACTCTTAACTGCCAAGCCATCCCTCCAGGCCCTCAAACTGTTCTTGAAGAGGCAATACCTTTCTCTCATCCTACAAGTAAAGTATTCCAGATACAAGGGAAGATTTCAGGGAAAGTTCTGTGGAGACAGACTTTTCTTTTTGAGCCACCAGCTCACAAAAAAAAAAAAAAAAAAATGAAATGGAGGCTTAATAATTATGAAAGCTTGGCCTTAGCTTAGGCTTGTTTCTTACTAGCTCTTATAACTTAAATTGACCCATATTTTTTTTAAATCTACGTTTCTCCATGCTCTCGTTACCTCACCTCCATTATGCCCATCCTGGTTATTCCTCATCTCTCTGGTAACTCTGCCTTTCTTCTTCCCAGAGCTCTCTCTGACCAGAAGTCCTGCCTAGCTATTGGTCGGTTAGCTTTTTATTAAAGCAATCACAATGACACATCTTCACACAGTGTAAAGGAATATTTTGCAACCGGTCTAAACTGGCTTTCTAGGGTATGCTCAGGGAGTAGCATGGCGGCTGAACTCAATAGAAAGCCACTGGGTTGACCCTCAGGGAGGGCCTGGCCCTCTGCTTCACAGAGCTTTAGCCTTGCTGCCGCAATTGAGTTTTCTGAGGCTATCTTAATGCAAGCGCCTAAATGCCAGCAAAAGACTCAAATCTAGAGTGAACAGCCCTCTTAGGAATAATGCAGAGAGGCATCGAAGGAAAGCAAACAGCCTGGCGGTTTGAATAGGAATGTCCCCATATGTAGCCGGAAGTTTTCCTGTGTCCCACAGCTGCTCAGTCCCAAGTAAACACACAGAGGCTTAATATTAATTGCAAACTGTTTGGTCTTATGGTTCAGGCTTCTTGCTAGTGAGCTCCTTCATCTTAAATTAACCCATTTCTATTCATCTATGTTTTGCCACGTGGCTGTGGCTTTACTGGTCTGTTGATATGTTGCTCCTTGGGTGGTGGGCTGGCATCTGCTCTGACTCTGCCTTCTCCCTCTATCTCTCTTGGATTTCCCACCTGGCTCTTATTCTGCCTTTCCATAGGCCCAAAGAGCTTCTTTATTAACCAATAATAGCAACACATATTCACAGTGTCCAGAAAGACCATCCCACAGCACCCATAGGCCTATATATTTAAATGC